GTGTTGTATTGAGCATTTTCAATTAATATTAATATACTATTTTAAATACTACTATTATATACTACAATTATTTGGTGGTGTTACTATTTACACTGATGATGATGATGAATAATCGATTTATCAACTTTTATAATTTAATTTCCCAAATGTAATGATGAATGTAAAATGATTAACGTCCGTTTTCAATTCACACTAAATAATATTATCTATATAACAAAATGAATTTCCTGAATCAATAGGAGCCTCCTAATAACGGCCGTTATTATTGTATTGAAAGAACTTTTCGAATTGTTTTTGTGTTGTTTTTTTAGGCTTTGATGAAGGAACGTAACCTTCTTTAAAGCTTTGAAATCATCACTTTAGGTGCAGGATTGAAATGGATGAAACGTGAGGTTGGAAATCACGTTGTTCAGAGTGGATTTTCATCATCCTTTTTTGAAGAAACGTGCAAAGAATGTAATAATAAAACTTGTTCCACCCTTAACATCATGAATTATTGAATTTTTAAATGATTAATTTCATGATCCGAGGATTAAATTTAATTATGTTATTACATTTACAAAGAATTTTATTTAATTATTAAAACAATGATTGAATTCAATTCGCAATAGAAACCTTATTTTCCAATCCGTATCACAGCAATATCACACATAAGATGGGTGAATCCTTATGTATGATACTGAGAGTAATATTGAGGGAAATTAAGTATTCGCTTGCGAGGTTCATAGCAAACCAGGTAGGTTAGTACTTGGTTTGTTTTGGACCTATGATTCTGACAGTGTCAGAACATTTTGCAGAATATTTAGAGAGATGGTCAGATCTTGTACTGACCAGTTCAGTATTGTTGATTGACATGATGTTATGAACAGCATTGGTTTTGCCAGTTTGGCAATATAAAAAGAAGTACTCTGACGTACCCTTCAATCTAATCCATGTATAACTTTTGGATGACTTTTCACCATTGTAGATGGTCTTCTTATCAAGTAAACCTTTAAGGGAAACATAATTTACCTTGTTGATATCCAATTGTTCAATCTTGTAAGACAAATCACAGTAATGGACAATATCATTCTTATCTGAATTTAGTGGACCATTTTGTCTTCGTTTTGTTTGAGCTACTTCAAGAATCAGCTCCATCTCCTTCACATCAGTAACAATCTCAAAGTAAGGTGCACTCTCAGAGAATTTTGTGTGTTCCCATAAATCAGGAGAAGACTTCTTTGCACGTTTCTTGATCGATTGCTCTTCTGATTTCTTTGCCTTCTTGGTTCTCTTTTCCACAAACGAAGAGTGTTCAAACTTTCCTTTGGAGATGTCTTTGGAAGACTTCTTGCCAACAACAACTTGATCGACAACACTTTCATAAGAAGTGTTTTGATCAAGACTGAGGAAAGTTCTTGTTGTTGGTGAAGCTAATGTATATTGATCAACAAGAATATCCATCTCTACTGTAGAATACATGGAGACAAAAGCATGCAAATTGCTCATAAGTTGAGCTTCTTGTTGCTCCAAAGCAGCAAAACCATCAACCAAATCTTGATCATCAACAAAGACAGAATCAACTGAAGTTGTTGAAAAATCTTCTTGTAAATGTTCTTTTTGTTGTTGGAAGCTACCTAAATATTCAGTGGTTGTTGACAATACTTGTTCATCATCATGAGTTAACGGAAAACCAAAATTAAAGTCAAACAATTCTTCATCAGTATTGTCGCTAAAGGTATTTTCATTAGTGTACATTTTCTATAGAAAGCTACAAAGAAATGGTGGATGTGGTTGAAGTGTTGTAGTTGGATGGTTTGCTTTTTGCCAGGTAAGAAGAAACGAGAGCAAATTAAAGAATTA